ACAGACTAGCTTTTTATGTCATCTTTGATGAACATACCTGATCACCCACTGTCAAAATATCACCCACTGTTCAAATAGGAGAGGAAAGGTTGAAGGTCCGTAGGCCGAGAAACAAAATATAATTCGACTGGGAAGGACAGTTCGCACAGTCGCCATGGTTGGGTACGGGTCCATTCGTCCTCGATACCCAACCTGGACAAACCATCAGAAGGGTTACTGGCGGAGTCGATCCATTCAATCCAAGGTCGAATCTGACGTTTCTGGAAAATCAAATGAGCTAACTGGACAATGGCATGAACGTCTTCTTGTCCACTGGAACCTTTGATTAATGAGGAAACTGCGGCCTCATTATCAACGAACCAGAGGAGATCACGACCGGCAAGGATATCACCATGGACCCACGGCACGAGGAGTCCACAAAGTGTTTCGCCGGGGTAGATCTGTTGGTGACGTTCAATCCATGAATCAGTCACCTCGGATGGTACCAGGCATGACACTCCCAAAGGAGGCGATGTCATGAGTACCCATCCTACCCGCAAGGTGCCCTTTTCAAAAGAGGCATCAGAATAGATTACCAGGGGGGATTTGGTGGCTGAGCACACCTCAATATCCCGGGGCCTGGCTTCGTGAAGCATGATGCTGAGGAGGTGTAAAGTAGTGACCTCAGCGTCTGCTAGTTCAGGAGTGGCAGCGTGCTGTTTGGCGGCCAACACTGGCCCTGCGAAGCGGCCAGCTTGCCCTGCGCACATGCTGAATAGCCAGTTGAGGTCGCCACGAAGCTTCCCCGCATCATCTGGACGAAGGTGTCGGGTAGCGATAGCCTCGTGGAGCTTGGCTTGGACCTTCCTTGTAGTGGAGGTCTTTGGTTGGAATCTAATGACTCCTAACCAGCCAAAGTCTCCTACGTGGACTGAAGTCCCGAGGTAATGTCTATTAGGGGCTGGCACAAAACTTTTGGAGCTCTGGGGCGGTGCTCCCAACAGTCTGAAAACCAACTGGAGGCTCCGTTGGGAGACATCGCTGTCGCGAATGCACTCCACCGATAGCTCGTCGTCAAAGTATGCAGCTGAGCACCCTAAGAGACATCTACGGGTGATGGCAATACCAAGTTGTGGGAAGCGATTGAAATTCACCACCGCACTTTCAAGACCGTAAGCTAGACCCCACATACATGTAAATCTCCAGCCCAATGAGGGAACGAAAATCGCAACATTAGAGAATGGAAGATGGGAGTCAGCCACGGGCAGGCCCCGGTAAGCGTCGGGAAGATCATCCGTGCCCAGACGGATGTCAAGCCACTCGGGAGGTGAGCCTACCGGAAAGGGCATTTCAGAATGCAACATACGGGCCACTGAAGCACAGAAGTCAACATTGACAGTTGAGATCGTTTCGTGCATTGTTGTATGAGCATTATGACCACTTTTCCGAGCGTTGTCAATGGCTCGTTTCTTCCCATCCGGTTGGATGATGAGGAAACGTTCCACGAACCTCCACCCCCCAACACCGAAAAGATCATCCATTTCCCGTGCGGTGCGCAAAGGAGAGCAAAACTCTTTTTCAATCTCATCGTTAGTCAAGTCCAGGATGTCTTGGACATGCTCCGGAGGGCTGGTGCGAAGGAGGCGATCTAGGTCAGCCTTGGCTGCCGTCCCCAACCACTGGTCCAGGGTAGTTTTCCTTCCTGGACAATGGGTCGAAAAACCCCCGAGTGCTCCATGTCGCCCACAATGTCGAAGCCCAAAACCAGGGATCTTGCGAGCATCTTGTCCGGCCAACGTAACAAAGCGACCATGGTGGCCACAAAGGCTGGTCGTTTTCCCATCGCCACTTTCCGAGCACTCTGGCATCGGAAGGGGTTCAATGCGTCTTCCAGGGGAGTCACCGCCCGCGCCACCGTGGCCAGGACGTGGCGCAGCTTCTCTGCCCAGCGAGGGAGGGCTTGTCTCCAGGTTGCCACAGCCTGGATGACAAAGCTCATGTCCGGTTCAGGCCAGGGGCGGGGTGCAAACGGTGAGGGCAGTTCCAAGGCAGCTGCAATATGCTCTTGCTTGCCCATACCCGGCGGGAGGAGGTGATCCAGTCCTTTGGCTGCATTGCTGGCATATCTTTGGACCGTGAGACCAGCATAGATGGCTGTGCGTTCTCGGCCCCAAACCGGTGTAGGGCCCAAGAGGGACCATGACTCTTGCCTGAGGCGGCGCCACATCGGGTAAGCTTGTAGCGTAGCGAGCTCACATGCCGCCAGCCTCCGGGACATGTCGGGCCAGACTGCCTCCCGACATGGGAGAAAAGGAAAGGTGGCTTGTAATTCTGCACACACTTCACCTGCAGAGAGGATACCCGGCATAGTCGCCAACCTACCCGGGCTCCATACCGTATGGCATAGGCGTTCAGCAAGGCCTAACTCCTCCACATCAAAGGGCTGCTTTGTCAGCTTGGCCTCCATGATGGATGGAAGGCAGCACAGAAGCGCCATGACACTTGGAATATGGAAGCCGTTGCCTAGCAAAGAGTTTCGTAGCTTTGTTCACTGGTCTTGTGAGCCCTGGACTGCATGGGTGGCGGCCACAGGCACACCCATCAATTGGGACCTCTCGTCTGGGGAAGGCTGTCTCCAGTTGTCACCTGACCACAACAGCGAATTCTCCTCATAAGCTGCCGGTGGGAAACGACGATTGTCCTGATGGAACCGTGCTGCCGCTGCCGGTGTCACTTGTGCCAGCCGATCCGTAGGGTGGAAGAACTCGCGAGTGAAAGGGTGCATAGCACCAGAGCCTTGCGCTTGCATCACTTGCTTGGGGTCCATCATCGGCCGGAAGTGATCATCCCACCATACCTGAGCAGGGATAGGCTTCTTTCCGCAGTAGTGTAGGGTCGGATGTCGGCTCCCTGGGCCTTGCTGCCAGACCCAATCTGAAGGCGGTGTGCCCCGCGATGACAAACCTGCGCTGCGGGATGCCAACCAGTACAAACGGCGGCGGTGGACCCAGCCACACCCAGCCGCATCGCTCAGCACCCGTTAACGCCCAACCATGTAGAGTACTGTTCACATACGGACTGGGGCATACTGGCGACGTTCTCCAGGAATGTGATGACTTCACAGGTGCGAGCTTCTGGAAGGGCCAAAATCTCCTCCCGAAGGCGTTGGAGTTGGCTCGGTTGTTGAGATCTCGGGTCATTAAGACCCTGCCTGCCTCGGTTCAAGCTGGAGTTGCCTTGGCACGGGGAACCACCACCCAGGATGATGCCCCGTACTTGGCGCCGTTGCAAGAACTGGCGGAGGTCCGCTCCCTTGAGTTCCTCAACTGAGTCAATATGCACCAAATTGGGCATTGCAGCCTGTGCAGCGGCACTAGCCACCGCGTCACTCTCAGCGCTGATTGCGTAGATGTGAACACCGAGAGCAAGCAATGCAATGCACAGTCCCCCAATGCCCGCCCAGAGGTCCAACACTAGCCAAGTGCCTCGAATAGATATACCCCAAGGGAACTGTGGCGGTCTCCTCTACCACGCCATGTCACCGGTTTTGCCCCGACCAACCGGGTAGCTAAAGCCGAAGGGGTGAGCTCCATAGGCTCGCGCAAGGTGATCTGCCGCACGGCCACCTGAGGTGGCGCCGTGGTATCCCTCTGCTGCACTGGATGCTCAACCCCCCGCAGCTCACAGGCTGCCAGGGGGAGTTGTCCCTATTCGCTCGGATGCTCGAGCCTTGTGTGGGGTCCCTGGCACGGCTTACCTGTCGGCAGCTTGACATCACACTTGTGAACCTGCGGGCACTTCTTGTTTGCACAACCGCGTCCATCATTCCAAGGCTTGCACAACTTCAGGCCCCCTTTCAGCATGGAGATGGTCTGGTACGAATCCTGCTTGATCTGGCGTCGTTTGGGCGCAGGAGGCACAGCCTCACTGGCACCCGGGGCTGCTCGCTTGGGTGCGCCTGCAGGCTCATTGGGGACGGCCTGAATGGCACTGGCGCGCCATTCAAGGTGAGTCTCACGCAAGGCCTCTTGAAGTGCTTCCCAAGCATTGTAACCTTGACGAATGTAACTGGCCATCTTGGTACGTGTCAGCAGGTCGTTGCGCTCCAACCACAACCTGGAGCCCTGGCCGAATTCCATGGCACTGGAGAGCGCGTGGTCAGCGTAGTTCAGGGCAGCGGTAAGGGAGATAAATACCGTCTCCTTACCATCATGCCCCCGCTGCTGGTGCAACCCTGCCCACGCCCATGCATAGGCCAATGTGCGGAGCGACCAGTAGTAGTCTACTACAGTGCGAATAGTGCGGGCCTCCTCCGTGTGGAATTCAAGCTGGATGCCTTCTCCTAATTTCACCGCATCTTGTTGCCGTGGTGTAGCCTGGTGAAGGACTGACTTGATGCGAGAGGCTGGTACCACCGACATAGTCCTCTTTCTGAATTCCCTGTAAACCCGGGCTCTCAGAGCGTCACTGGGTTCCAGCGTAGCTTCCACGATGAGCGCATACTTGGATCTGAAGTCGCGGTTGAGCTGCTCCATGGTGGATTCCGGGAGTGGGTCATCCACCCCCTCGGATGACTTAGCGGCCTGGGCCGCTTGCTTGATGGCCTCCGCCCCTGCTGAATAGGCCGCACGCAGGCGAGCCTGTGCCAACCGATTTTCCTTGAAGGTTGTAGGCGCCAACAGTGACTGGATGGCCGCCGTGACGTCCTTTTCGTCCACGGAGAAAATAAAGTCCTCCAAGGTCTCCCATTTATGTGCACGGATCACGGCATCGGCCCACTCCGGG